AGGGATAGTTCAGTTTGCTAATTGCTCTGTTGATGTAAAAAATCTCAAAGATACGGTGGTGGTGGCTATCCATACTGGAAGAATCTACTCTGTTGATGAGGTTATGAGTAACACTTCTGCTGAGAGTCCTTTTGATGTAAAGAAAGACAATGTATCATCACAATATACTTCATTTTCTGAGTACTTCAACAAAAAGTAAGTTATTTTATACCTTGTGTGATGTTTCAGTGATATTACTGTAGAGTTTTCTTAATGATGCTATTTCTGTTTAGATACGGGATTGTGCTCCGTTATCCTGGTCAACCTCTGTTGCAACTGAAACAAAGTCATAATCCGCACAACCTTCTTGTGAACTTTAATGGTGAAGGTTTGTTGATTTGCATGCTTGATCCTTTAGCAATATGGCTTATTCTTTTTTGTTAAGCATCCATTCTGTAATTTTCAATTATATCTTCAAATTTTTTCATGAAACTGTTGTTCATGACCCTTCTATTGTATTTGTTTCTCCCCATGTTATAACATTGATTGAAGGAGAAAATTGGCCTAACAGTGCATATATGTATTATGTACTTGAGTGAAAATACTATCTCAGTTTTGCATCTTCAACTCCCTCCAGTTATTAAAACTTCAAGTCAGACAGCTGCTTTCGTGGTTTCTTGCAAGTACTGGTACTTGATTTTATTAATTTATTAGGAAGTATATTGTTTGAAAGTTGTGGTCATGTGGGTGGTGGGATTGAATGTTTGACTTATTGAGCATGTGGTCCTTTTACAATTATATTAATAAATCTATCTGATGCATGTTGTTGAAGAGTAAATGGAGGTGACAAAAGGCTGTGGGTGTGAGTAATTGACTCGTTGCAGTGTTAGTTACGTGCTGTTGAAGCTATGTTAGCAATACAATCTCATTTTTATGTTTGGTTGCTATATTTTCTCTCAACTGGGCAGGTGGTGGTGGTAAGAAATTGCAATCTGGCGTTGTTATTGGAAAGCAGATTATGTATGCTCACATGCCACCTGAGCTTCTAGTCGCTATTGGTATCCCGGGAGACGTTCTAAAGTCATGTTATTTACTACCATCGTTGATTCATCGCTTGGAGTCCTTGATGCTAGCCAGTCAACTCAGAGAAGAGATTAATTATCATTCTAGCAGCTTTCGGATATCAAGCTTATTGGTACGTCTCCTTTTAGACTCCGTGACTTGCCCATTTATCTTTCTAATAGAGTAATCTGAATGTGTTTTTGTGATCAGATTCTAGAAGCACTTACAACACTAAGATGCAATGATGAATTTTCTATGGAGCGCTTGGAATTGCTCGGTGATTCAGTTTTAAAATATACTGTGAGCTGCCACCTCTTTCTCAAATATCCCAAAAAGCATGAAGGACAATTAACTAGTTGCCGCACCCTGGCTATTTGTAACTCAAACCTACATAGATTGGGCATAAATCGCAAGTTACAGGTATTTCCCTTGTACTACATGCTATCTATGCTTATATGTATTCACTCGGGTACTGATGTTCAAGCTCATGTAGTAATGGCTTTGCATTTTTTTAATAGGGATACATCCGTGATTGTGCGTTTGACCCATGTCGTTGGGTTTCTCCAGGGCAGATTTCTCTACGACCCATTCCTTGTAATTGTGGAGTGGAGACTTTAGAAGTACCCGTAAATGGAAAATTCCAAACTGAAGACCCTAAAGTTGTGGTTGGAAAGAGCTGTGATAAGGGCCATAGATGGATGTGTTCCAAAACAATCTCTGATTGTGTTGAAGCCCTTATAGGAGCATACTATGTTGCTGGTGGATTGCCTGCTGCAATTCATATGATGAAGTGGCTCGATATTGATGTAGAACTTGAGCCTTCCTTGGTTGCTGATGCAATTACTATGTCGTCTCTTCATTCATACACCCTGAAAGCTAATGAGATTGCAATCATGGAGTCAAAGCTTCACTACGAATTTTCTACCAAGGGTCTCTTACTCGAGGCCATAACACATGCATCTGATCAAGAATCAGGAGATGGCTACTGTTATGAGGTATGCTGAGAGTTCTATGCAGAGTTGCCTTGGTTGACTCTTTACCTTTTCACCTTTTTTTTTCTATTCCAACAACAATAAGAAGGAAAATTGTTGTGAGCTTGGAAGCAGAAATTGACCAATTAATCTACCATGAAAATGAATCTTTGATAGATTATTCATTTTACCTAGAAGTAATAAATTACCAAGTATAGAACAAACAGTGAAAATTCCATATATTTACTTTTCTTAACTTCTTGATTTTCAACAGCGACTAGAATTTCTAGGTGACTCTGTGTTGGACCTGCTTATCACAAGGCATCTCTATCATACCCACACAGACATTGATCCAGGCGAGTTAACTGACTTGCGTTCAGCTTCTGTTAATAATGAAAGTTTTGCGCAAGTTGCTGTTAGACGTGATCTCCAGCAGCATCTACAACATGCCTCTATGTTACTTCTAAGTCAGATAACAGATTATGTGAAGTCTCTTTCAGAACCCGACAGTGGTACCACACTTCAAGGCACAAGGGGCCCTAAGGTAAGATCTCGCTCTATGTTAACTGTTTTTCTCTTCAATAGTGTTGAAAGATTAGCTTGAGCTTTTGTTTTCAGGTTTTTCTAAAAGACTGATTGTCCTGCTTGTTTTAGGCTGCAATCCTTTTGTCTTTATTTGGTTCTTTCAGCATTCTAATTTAAAATTTCAGTTCAAGAGGGGTCCTTTTGTCTGCTTCCCATGTATTTTAGGCTTTTAGCCATGATTCCTCTTGAAGTAAATTTGCCACGACTAAAAACTATCGTTGCTTTAGAGTTTTAAACTACATGCAGTTATAGGTTCTTTGCTGTTAAGCTTCTCCTTAGCTTGATACTTTTTTAATATTATTGGTAGCCCTACAAGGAGAAGCTTCCACCCTCCACCAAATATCAGGACTAAAATTCCTATTATTATCATCACTTTGTTACCATTGTTAATATGATTGTTGTTACTATATATTGTTTTTGTGATCTGAATAGTATCTCTGCAGGCTCTCGGAGACATGGTGGAAAGTATTGCAGGGGCAATTCTAATTGATACCAAACTTAACCTTGATGAAGTGTGGAGAATATTTGAACCATTATTATCTCCAGTTGTGACTCCTGACAAACTTGTGCTGCCTCCACTACGCGAGCTGATTGAACTATGCGACTCGCTTGGGTACCATAGAAAAGAGAAGTGTACCAATAAGGGTGAGATGTTTCATGCCGAGCTTACTGTACAGCTGAAAGATGTTCTGTTGACTGGAGAGGGGTGCGATCGGACTAAAAAATGTGCAAAAGGAGAAGCAGCTCGTCGTTTACTTAAGAAACTTGAGGTTTGTTGGTTCTCTAAATGTCTGTCTGTCCGTTTTTATTTGGTCGTGGTCATGAAAATGAAAAGGGGATCAAGAAAAAAAATGAAATTGATTCTTTGTTGTAACTTGATCTCAATTTTGGAAATTTGGGCTCACATTTCAAGCTGAGGCTCCGGGTGTTGGGATTTCTGGGTTCTAGGGTCAAAACCAGGGGTTCATGAGTTCTAGGTTTGAAATTCTGGGGCCGGAGCTACTGTTTGGGGTCCAGAATTTTTGTTCACGAGCCTTGGTTCAGATCTGAGGTCCCAAATTGTTGTTAACGAGTAGTCTGCTGCATCTCTCTGGTTGTTAAGTTTCCATCACTAAATGTTGTTAAAGCTGTACTGTTTTGTTATGGAACAGGAGAAAGGTTTTTCATTTTCCAAGAAGAGGAAACTTGATGCTGACCAAGTAGGTGATTCAACTTCCCTTGACATCAACCATAAGGTCGGTGACCAAGTAACTGTCAAAGATTCTTCAGCGTTAGTGGTCTATAAAAGGCAAAAGATAACTGAAATTCCTCTAGCTGCACAGACAACTGGAGTTTCTCCTTCAGTAATTGACGGGAAAACCTCTAGCCCCAACAATGCCGCCCCAGGTTTGCACCATTTTATCGTTCTCATTTTCTCTAGTTGCATGGTTGTGTGCTTATACACTCTACCTACTTTTACTCTCCTTGTGAACCTCGCTTGTACTCCCTATGGGCTACGACTAGAGTCTAGACGCTTGATAACCTCTTCCTGTTTCCATTCAAACAGGTGAAATGCGTTCCAAATTGTATGATTAATGTTCAAAACTGTTTTTCACAAATGAAATGGTAAATCACTGGAATGCAAAAAGAATTTGTTTTTGTTAATCTGCTTCGTGCTCTCTGACAAGATCACCGGAAATTGCTTTAAGTGGCTTCATTTCTTTAGAGATTCAGATAGGAAGCTTATACTATGTTATTATCAAGCAATACTATCATTTAATCGTGCTGTGGCTGCGGGTTCTTTTATGCAGTCATTGAAGCAATCAACATGAAGAAAGGAGGACCTCGATCTGCTCTTTTTCAGCTGTGCAAGAACCTGCAGTGGCCAAAGCCGGATTTTCAAATAACCGGAACTCAGTCAAGGTTAGTCCATAACCAAATCCTTCAAATCTACTAACAAATTGTGTTTTGTTGATTCAAGATTCTAGAGAACTTGGCCACTACAAAATTGTGTTTGAATTATTAACTTTTGGCCTCACAACCGTCTTTCTTCCCGTAGAACTCCACTCACATTTGGTGAAAGCTCAACCAAGTACTTCAACAGTTTTGTCGCACAAGTAACCTTGCACATACCCAACACCGGCATCATTGACTGCTCAGGAGATGCTAGACCCGATAAGGGGAGTTCAGAAGATTCTGCTGCCGTCGTCTTGTTTTACGAGCTTCAACGGCAGGGAAGAGTAATAATTGGCGGGTGATGAGGTAACAAATCTATCTTCTGCTGGCTAGTTTCATAATCATAGAAATTGAAGGGTTTGGTAATTTTCGAATCCACCATCCCAGTTACCTTTCGACTATACAAAATGATAGGAAGTGTAGCAACGATACGTTGTGTATCAGACTCTTTTCATAAAGTAAAGGCAATCAAGGTAATGACACTTGGTATTTTGGGATAAATATGTATCAATTCATATGTTTTCTTCGGTAAAGTTAAAAATGTTGAGGAATTTACTCACCCAAAATCGTTATGCACACAAATTTTATACATTTGAAGTAGCTATAAACTCCTAAAATCCTATTAACAAGTGGAAAATTTGTAGCGAGATGGTGGAAGTTTCGAAATCATGGCCTTGGAGTTCTAAGCCCTTGAGTTCGAGCTCCTTCAAGAGTTTGCCATATCAAAAACATGCTCCCTCGACTTGGAACAAGTGAGGTGAAGAAGATGATCTTTAGGCTCTAATTAACAGCTCATACACATTGCTGTTGTTGTCTCCGTTGACGCGCTTCAACATTTCAAAACTTCTACGACTGCCTAGAAACTCAATCCGCCTGAAAATTGCATACCCGCGTTCTGCTGTTTCTTTACTGGAGTACACTGATCGGAGCCGATCAGCATGCCTTGAGTCGGTGTGGATTGCAGCCTCAATTTCATGGGCTGACATGTTCTCCTGCAATATAAGTACACGAGACTAAACGACCCTCCCTTCATTAAGCCAATGACAGAGGATTCTGAGAGGGGAATGTCTTATTTTGTACCTGATAAAATTTATAGATATGATCCAACACTTGCAAGCATGTAAACCCGTTGTCGCTGAAATATGTTCTAGAAGATGGCCCCATCTCAGCAAATCGATCGACAGGGAACAGGATAGTAAGAAAATGGTTTTTGAATATCAATTCAGATTTCTCACTGCAGATAAATACATAAAAAGAGAGGTGTGAGATGATATAACATTTGGCAATCATTTTTCGTTTTTGCGAGCAGGAAGGAAGAGAGTTCAATAACCTTTCCTTGAGCGGTCTGGTTAAGTTTGCAAACGACGCTTCTGAATCCTTGCCATCACCTTTTGCATCGAAGAATACAGATGTATGATGTTCACTACCATCTTCAACACTTACACTCTCGGTGTAGATTGAAGCCGTTGATGTTGGTTCAGAAATTGACCAGCAGATTGAATCCAAAAGGCTGCTGGGGGTTATTGGTCGCATTGGAGTTTGGCAAGTCTGCGAGAACCAAGCACATAAATAAGATGGTTTACCATGAAAAGCTTCTCGCAACAAATGTACTACTTATGAGGCACTAAAGAAGAACCATAGATTGATCAAGCACCACAGAGAATCAAACAAAATTAATCATTACCTGCATACGAAGACCACGACGATTTCTAACCCCAGTTTTAGCAGAATTCACAATCTGTAGTCTCTTTTCATGGCTTGCTTTATTTCTATAAGCTTGAACATCTTCGGGGACTTTTCCCTCATCAGTTCCCTGTTAGATAAATAAAAAATATTGTTAAAATACGAACTTATAGATACCAAAATTATATGACTACTCATCCATCATGTAGAAAGATACCCCATCTGCAATGCCATTCTGCAACTCTTCAAGCATCGTACCAACTTGCCTGGCCAAATCTGCAGACATGTGCACAAGCCGTTGTACGTACTTCTCTTTGGCTGTTTTCAAAACCCACAGTGGCTGCGATACATCAAACACCAAATAACAATAAATACACAGAGCACTCCGTAATCTCAAACATTGCAAGTGATTTCATCAGCTGTCTACGATACAAGGACAACCAATATGAAAAGTTATTGTCGTATACGCGCTTGCTGATTCAAGTAAACCAGAGAATGCCATTGCAGGACTCACTGTAACAATATTGCTAGAGTGGCCAAGATATTGACGGCTTGAAGACCCTTCACACACTACATGACTGGCTTTGCAACCAACAAACCATTGATCTACAAATGTGGCACCCTCTCTACTAGCAGCTTCGGTAACCTACCAAACAGACACAATGATAAACGTTACAAACAGAAAGACAGGTTTACCCTATCTATTTTATCTGGCATTGGAAAATACATGTCACTAGTAAATCTTTCTTTTAAAAGTAAAACAAGGATAACAAACTTGTCTTTTGAAAAAACAAGCAACTATTTCCTAGAAATAACTTTACCTTATTCCTCAGTTCAGATGAAATGTCTAAGTCGACATAAATGGAGTGACCGGACAAAGTAGAGTGACTAGAGTCAGTACTTCTGATAGCCTCCCTTCCACGAACAGATACAAGTGGTTCGTCATTCATGTCCAATTGCTTGGCTCCACGAACACCAATAGGTAGACAAGAATTTTCGGTGCCACTAAACCCAACGAGCCTATTCAACTCATCCAAACGCATTCCATTCTCTCCAAAACTCTTGATACTGTAAAGTGATTCACTCAGCCTCACTGAAGCAGACAAAAGCAACTTGATTTAGATTAATCAAGTAATATGTACCAATAGGTCCAATACCAATGGAGCGTTTCTCGGCAAACCAATGTAAAACTTAAGAAATGAAGGTAGCATGTATATAAGATGGTCTCTCTTACCATTCTTCCTTACACTATCTACAAACCATCCAATGGTAACAATAGACAGACCATTTTTTGATCCATGCTTCAAAGCATGCTCAAACTTGTGTCCGCCGAAGCTGTAAAACTAGTTAAAGATTGCACTCAAGCCTTGCAATTTACATAAACAATAACACCAAATGTATCAAAACATTGATAAAGTCCTCCCCAATATACTAATATACCAAAAACAAAACATAACAAAGTACTATTATTTCGAATATCAAGGATATTTGGACCACCAAATGAGTACATTGAGGATGCAACTGAGGGCTGTACTGGCCGCCTAATCTCTCAGTCGCTTCCTTGACTTGTTTCCTTGCTTCTGCCAAAACAACATGACAAATATGAACAGCTACAAATTAAGAAGAAATATATTATATATTATATAAAATCACTTTCATCACAGAGAAAATTAGCAGGCAGAAGTTAAAACTTTGTCTTCTTTACCCTTGGATAGACCAGTAACGCAGATAACAAGGCCGGCGAAGGGTCCGCCGCCTGATCGAGCCACCGCCTCCGACCCAATAGGGGATGCGGCCGGAGATGCAGGCTCAAATGGTTGCAGAGCTTTAGAGGAAGGCGATTGAGATGGTAACCCAACAGACAGCCGAGAGCAACCGTGGCTCTTCACCACTTCCACTCTCCCACCGCCACCGCCACCGCCCCCCATTACAAATTCACCATTACCCACCAAGTCTCCATTCGACTTTCCGATAAAAAATTACAAAATAAATTACACACGGTGAAATTAACACCAGCGTTCCATGAAATCAGAGAAAACTCTGAAAAATCTGAAAAGGGTAATTAAAGAAAAGGACAACGAACAAGAATTTGATTGGCGCGCGGGAAAAGAAAAGGGTTTCTTAATGAAGTGAAGATTGATCAAACCCAATTGAGAAATGGAAGAAATGATGCGACCCAGAAGCAGAAATGGAAGAAAAACAAGAGGAAAAGTTTGCAGAGATGGAGGAATAAGAATCTTATTGGAAAGGGAAGAAGATAAAGCAAAGAAAGTGGCAGGCAGTGAGAGGAAGAGAGACAGAGATTCAGAGAGGCTGCAGACAAAGAGTGAATTTTGGTTTGGAGACTGCACAAGTAAATTCGCTTTCGAAAACGAAACAAATGGAATGACTGAATGAATCTAAAAAGATGGATTCTTTAGAGACAGAGCGAGCGAAAGCAGAGAGATTTTGAATTACGTGCTGTTTGTGTGAGATTTTTAGATTTTAATTACTTTATTTGCCTTTTTTAACAAAAAGGTGAAGAGAAACGGGAGTTGCAATGCAAGTGAATTCAAAGTGCCAGACATGCTTTGGTCAAACGCTTTATGTTTCCTCGATTGGGCCTGTGATTTTGTTTTAGTATGGGTTTTGGGTTTTTCCGAATCTGAAATGTCACAGTAACAGTATAATTTAAGAAATTTAATGTTTGATTGATAATTTTGTATCTTGAGACTACAAATACGTGGAAGAAACGTTAGTTTTGCACATGAATTCTTCACGTTCCACACTGTCACATGGAAAAATAAATCCCCACAATAGTGCTTGATTCGCTTAAAGTGTTCTTATTTTGTCATCTATACGTAGTAAATTTATGTCGAAGTTTTTATTTGTGACATGAATTATCAAAGAAAAGATAAATTCTCTTGTAACGAGATGCACCAATTTTTTTTTCTTAAATGTAAATGTTGTTCATTATTCATGGGGACACCAGATGGATCGATACTCATTTTAATTTGCACTAGGCTTTAATAATGTCGTAGTCTCAATCAATTAACCAAAGCAAGTAGTCCAACGGTACAATGACCCTCTTAATTGTGACGATACCAGTGACACGTGTTGACAACGAGATCATGCCAACTAAGACGATATATGATTATCAAGTCTTGTGTCTCTATACAAAACTAGTCTCTAATTATTACTGTGTTAGTATTAACTTTCTTGATGTGCAAATATAAGTTAAGTCACTCAATCAAGACAATAAGTTCGCCTATTTGCACGTGAGTTTGAATCTCTTACTGAATGACTTACTTTTGACACTAGGCATTTGGATAATATATCCGTCTTTTCGCACTTGAGTTTGAATCTCTTACCTAAATTTTGATATTAGGAACGTGGTGGGGGATACCACAAAATTGTATATCAGAACTTAAGCACAAGGCATAGCAATTGCCAAATGGTACCACAATTGAAAAAAAAAAAAAAAAAAAAAAAAAAACAATGTGGACATTTTATTGAAAACTCAATAGCTGTCGTTTTTTATGTCAATCATTTTCCATGAATTGAATGACACCTTCGGCTTTGGGTTACCAAAAAATTGACACTTTAATTGTTTATTAACTAAACTCTAATATGAAATTATGTTTAGAGATGTAACATGCAACCGAATAAATAATCTCACGGTTGACTTGACTCCGTGATGGCAACCTCTAAGCTAAACAATTAGCCACGTCATTATAATTTTGACTATAAATTATTTATAATCATGGATGACCGTGTTCTTATAAAACAAAAATAAAATGAGTGTTAGAATTAGTCGTTTACGCTTGAAAGCTGATCCTAACTTACGAGTTCCACAAACATAATAGCCAAAATCAACCTCCGTGGGCTCGTGCTCTATTAACCTTAGCATTTAAGTTCAGAAAGTGATATTATATAATCAATAAGATAACAATGAACGAGAAACTAAATATAACGTCGGGTAAAGTTAAAAGTTTAAAAATTACAAGACGTGTCAAAAATAGCGAGAAACTAGAGCAATACACAAAATCATACAATGTAATTACAAAAAATAAATCAAATGGGACCTTTCTTCGTTTCTTATATTTTTAGGGATGTTCGGGGTTGAAGAAAGAAAAGTGAATACATGACACAACAATCGTATCAAACACTGCAATTCTATATCGATTCTCAGGCAAGCAGTGTCAGGTAACTATCAGCAGTCAGTCACTCAATCTTCTTGGATGTACAGAACTTTTTGACAACATCAGATTTCAATTTGCATCCACGAGAGAGAGCTTCTAGGACCATGTCATCAATTTTTTGCTCCTCCTTCTCGTACACTTAGAAAACTATAAAGGCAGAGGGAACTCCTGGAACAATAAGAGAACAAAGAAACTAAGGGTCAAGGTGGGGCAAAATCGAACTTATTGATGCAACTATTAAAAGAATGAGTAATGCCGGTCCGATGGAATATGAGAGTACCCCGTGACCAATCCAATCAAGTCCGTACACGGCTGAAATATAGGGTGTAAGAATATCAAATGATGGGTTCTTTAAAATTTACACCATATCAAGCTGAGAGCCTGAGACTAGTACCAACAGTTTCTCCCAAAAACAGGAAATTGGAAGAAATTTAAATACTATAAATTAAATGTCCTAAACATCGGTTTGTTCATTAATTATCCAAACCAATTTTTCGGACTCCCAAAGTTCCTTCTATTTTGTGCATGAATTTTAATGATTTTCTATATAATATTGGACAGACTTTCAGAATGTCAGCCTGGGATTACAGAAGTACGAGGATGTTTTTGTTGGAGAAGAGATTGATTGGGACACTCTACAATGGCTCACAGAAGAGGTATAGAACATGGGTATGTTTGCCAATTAACTCACCCTTTTGGTTACTTGCTTTGGATTTTGATTGAATTTCTCTTTCTTGTTGGTTTTTATTTGATGTGAAGGATTTGTTCAGCATAGGCATTACTGCCTTTGGTCCGCGGAAGAAGATTGTGCATGCCCTTGCTCAACTTCAAGAAGGTACCACTACTACTACTAGTAGTTCAACTGAAGCACAGCCAAGAAAAAGGAGAGCCAATGGAGTCGATATGCCCAATGATGCTTTGGAAGCACCAGTTAATGATGTTAGTAGAACAGCTGCAAACAAATTGATCACTGATTACTTCCCGGGATTTGGAATTGCTAGGAAACAGAGAACAGCGAAGGGTAGAAAAACGGGTGTCAGGTTCTGGTCAGAAACGTGGTGTGGCGAACAATAATGCTACAAATCGGAAACTCAGGGATATTCCCTCGTGGTGTTGCATACCAGGAACGCCATTTCAAGTGGTAAGTGGCCTTGCAGGGGATTGTGAATGTCACTGTGTACTACACTTTTTAGTATGTATTGTTCTTCAGCTTTAGCACAAGTTATGGTGTTTTACCCCATTTGGAGTGATGGCAGCTACTACAAAAGGCTAGTTATTTGCAGACATTTGTGGGTCAAGGTTATCTGGTTTGATATGATTGCATTTGTTACTGCAGATTACCAAGGTCTAACAAAGTCCTTCTGTCACGGAAAGATTTATTGCTCCTCCATCATAGCCAAGCTTGTAAATATGAAGATTGGCATTCCATGGGACAGCATACAGGTTGTACCCGTCAACCAAAAGATGAATATTGCTGGTATTAACGTGACCTGCTTGGATGCAAACCACTGTCCTGGTTCGATAATTATACTTTTCGAACCATCCGACAGTAAGGTGTGGTCCAAACTGACCTTCTAACCTCACTCCCTAGTATTCTTGTTTTCTTTTCTATGTTTGTTGGATAATGGTCCCGGTTCCATGTGTATCTAGGCTGTTCTGCATACAGGGGACTTTCGCTATAGCGACAGCGTAGCAAGCATGTTTTTTTTTGCAAACATGTTCTATCCATACTCTCATCCTTGATACCACTTATTGTAATCCACAGGTGAGCCTGACACATAGAATACGGCATATGTTATGAAGTTCATGTCTTTCCTTTGTTGTTGGAAAGTATATACTGCATAATACAAATTTAGAAGCGAAGTGACGTTTACTCTCATTTCATTATGTTTTGCAATATGATTTTCCAAAGCAGGAGGCTGTAATACAGTTCGTCATTGATGCCATTCAAGCTGAAACTTTCAACCCTAAAACTCTATTTCTGATCGGCAGCTACACTATTGGTAGAGTTCACGGCTTATCTCATTTCTATCTATGATAGGATTTTTACCATCCACAAAAAAAAAACACTTAAAAACAATTGCAAGAGTACAAGGTTATCGTAGTATAATTTATATAAATACCAAATCTTAATTAATTATTTGAAAACAAAGATTGGAAAAGATTGATTTTGAATTTAAAAACAATAAAAACGAATTTAATTAAAAAGGTTAAAGAAATTAGCAAAGTAAAGAAAACAAAGGAAAACATTTTGAAAACCAAATTGTAAAAGCCTAGAATTCCACCGTCCCCTTAACAATCCTATGCAATTTTACCAAATTGTAAATGTCTAGGGTTCCGCCCTCTTCAATTTCAGGGTGATGTTCCAACAGAAATTGTGTCAAATTACTTATCTAAAAATCCTAATGGTCGCGAATCACTAAGACAATTAGATAGTTCAATCACGGTGATTAATAATTCAAAGCAAGCATGCATCCATTCATAAGCAAATTAATAAAATTACATATTCATGCTAAGGCTCATGGCTCCGCCTTAGTAAATGGAAATTAGTTACGAACAACTATAAAACAAAAGGAATTTTATTGAAATAGAAAAATGATAGAAAACACCTTGAAATACAAATCGTCAAAGTCTAACTAAGTTCTCCAAATTGATGCCTCTCCCTTTCTCTAAAGGCTAAATAGCCTTATTTATACTACTACAAAATAAAATCCTACCTAGAAAAGGTATTCTAAAAACTAGGAAACATAATAAAATAAGATAACTAGAAAATAAAAGGTTTTCTATTTGAACTGAAATTCGGACTTCTCAGAAAATCAGACTTTTGAAATCAGACTTTTGACTGACCAAATCAACTCTGATTTGGTCCCAAAAGTCTCTTTTTAAAGCTTGAGACATCCCTAACAAGTCCTCAGAAGGAATCTTCCTCAAAATATGTCATTTTAACCTTCAAAATACCCAAAATGTTCAGAAACGTAAATCTGGGAAAACTGTGCGATGGGTCTTAATTTATTTCATCGCCACAGTCAAACGCCTTGGTAGAAAAATCTGAAACTTTAACAACATCATCTTGAAAGGGTCACGAACATCCTCCAATTGGAATCACTCCAAAATTCATCCGTTTGATCATTTTTTGCTCCAGAGGGAGTCAAATGTCCTACATTGAAAATATATAATAAAGTATCAAAATTTTACCAAAATAACCAATAAACTATAACTAAAAATAGGATAAAATATATGGTATAATATGGACTCATCAATCACCCTTCCTTTTTCTTTTACGTATCCATTCCAATGTGTTGCTCTAATGATATATCATTAGATTACTCCATAAAGTGGTCATTGTATTTCCTTTCTGTTATCTCTTTAACCCCCAGCTCATTTATTTCTCTCTCCCCATCCATGTGTTTAATCTCCATTTTGCAACAGGAAAGGAACGACTTTTTTTGGAGGTTGCTCGTGTGCTCCGGAAAAAGATTTTTGTTAATGCAGGAAAGCTGCATACTTTAAAATGCTTGGATTTTCCTGAAGAAGATATGCAGTGGTTTACATTAAACGAACAGGAAAGCCATATCCATGTGGTCCCTATGTGGACACTTGCAAGCTTCAAGCGACTGAAGCATATTTCCAATCAATATTCCGTGAGGGATTTACCCTTTTCCTTAATATGTTACTTTGGTATGTAGACATATCCAGAGAAATGTGTTTTCGAAGAATAAATGTACTTGGCATCATATCATGAACTTACATTTCTCGATTAAGCTACCCTTTCCATGAACTCGAATTCCACTTCATATTAGGTCAAGGGCAAGTCTGAAGTTTCGAAGTGCTAAACTAGTTCTTTTGTTCTTTAACTCTCAGAGTCGATTCAGCCTTATCGTTGCTTTCTCTCCAACTGGTTGGACTTTTGGTAAAGGAAAGAAGAAGTCCTCGGGAAGAAGATCACAGCAGGGTACCATTATAAGCTGATATTTCCTTCTCTGCTACAATACTACATTGCCTTAGATGAAACTTTTGACTATATCAAACATTATAGAGTAGTGATTCTCGACTCCCGCTTTCTCCTCTTGCACTGCAGGTACGAGGTGCCATACAGCGAGCATTCCAGCTTTACAGAACTCAAAGAGTTTGTGAAGCTTGTTTTTAATTTTTTTTTTTTTTTGAAACACGTTTGTGAAGCTTGTTTCTCCAGTGGAAATAATACATAGTGTGAATAATCACGGACCAGATTCTGCCAATGCCATGGTTTCTCCGTTGTCATCTTAAATTTTTATTTATTTTGTTTCCCACTAACTTTACAAATTTTGTAATTTTACCCTCAATAATATGGGTGATGTGATTTGTATTAGGGTTGTAATAATGGAACTTCTGGTTGTGCAAAGGTCCCATGCGTAATAAAGAAAGGTTGACAGCAGGGAAACTTCCAACAGTTGGTGTTAGTTCTAGTATTCAAGACAAGTCATAATTCGGAGCCTTAGTTGTGATTGTCGCACAACTACATAGTCGAGGTGTTACAGTCAACTTGTATTATAATTTGTTTTATTTATTAATACTACGTAAAATATGAGAAATTGTTTGACGTGAAATCACACCTCCCATGTCAAGTTATTAATCTAAATGTTATAACATGGATGGATAACAGGTTTAATAAGTTTTGGACTTGGGGTATAGTATTAGTAAATAGATTCAAATGTTGTAACATGAATAAATTACTAATATCACATACTAGTGACAATTACATTCGAATACTTCTCATAAATATAAATTCTCCGTCAATTTATATTGCAACACGTAACTTAATAACACCAAATAATAACGCGATGATATCAGTCAAAGTGATTTTAATAACACCAAATAATAACGTGATGATATCAGTCAAAGTGATTTTAAGGTAGAACTTTGCTAATGTATGAAATGACCAGCTGACTTTCCTCATTGACTACCAATCTTAAATAGAGATTGAGACGCAGCACCAAAGAATTTTGATCAACACAATAATATCGTTGCCCCATTTGAAGGAAGAACAAGTGAGTTATCACCGAATTAGCATCTTCAGCAAACTTCTCCATGTTCCTCTTTTTTTGTCGAGTCTGGTAATTGAATTCTTCACGATTAAGCCTCTTAAAACTACACCTTCACATGCAATTCTCCAGACTAAACTGTTATTGCATCTGACTATTATTAATATTACACTCCACATTAACAAGTGATACATGAAGGGTCGTTTTCTGTGATTTTTCCCACCGATATTAACAGTTGTAAAGAGGACTTCACTAATTAAGCATTCCACTAACTTCTTGTACCACAGAAAAATATAATTAAATGGTGATGACCATGGTAGATGAACAAAATAACAAGCCTCTTCTTTTGAAAGATTTTTCAGTGTACCGAGAACACGGCTTGGTTACCGCTACACTTAAAAACTTTTCCTTTGGGGAAGCCAGCTAATGGCCTTGAAGGGCAAATGCCCTCTTCCCTCAACAACCTTCTTTAAGTTTCCTTTGCTTTTGACTCATTAATATTCACCAGAAACACAACAAAGTGTGTGACACTATCACTCGCATTATCCATAACCAGAACCAATTAATTTTCCATGTTCACAAAAAAAAAAAAAATGTTAATCAAAATTTTTACAAAATAGAGAAAACCAAGAAGAAGAAGAAGACTTGGAATTGCACACCCCAAAAATTCCATTCCATTATTGTAAAAAAATAAAATAAAAAAAGGGAATTCAAAGCTCTTAAAAGCTCTCAACTAAGGGTTGTTCGAGTTGGTTCTAGTTGGTGTTTGCATTAACTAATTTCCACCCACCACTTTTGATGCTCATATATATTAACACTCCTTTCATCTCTCTCACAATCCAATCCAATCCAGTCCATGCCAATCCCACCCACCATGGCCAGTGAGCAAGATCTCTTGTCCACCGAAATTGTCAACCGTGGGGTTGAGTCGTCCGGCCCCAATGCTGGTTCCCTCACGTTCTCCATGAGAGTGCGCAGGCGGCTGCTGGACCTTTTACAGTCCGTAAACCTAAAGTATGTGAAGTTGGGGTACCACCACCTCATCAACCATGCCATATAATTGGCCACCATCCCTGTGCTTGTGCTGGTTTTTAGTGCTGAGGTGGGAAGTTTGAGTAGGGAGGAGCTGTGGAAGAAGCTTTGGGATGATGCACGTTATGACCTAGCAACTGTGCTAGGATTCTTTGGTGTTTTTGTGTTCACTTTGTCTGTTTACTTCATGTCACGCCCTCGATCCATCTACCTCGTTGATTTCGGCCTAATGACGATCTTAAGGTAGGTTTTTATTTAATTAATGGATTAATTAGTCACTTTTTCAATGACTTATTTGCATTGGTTTTCCATGTGTGTGTATATAATATATGACTTTGACAACTTAATTTCAACATCTAATCTTTCATGGTTTTGTTGATTATGTATGGTGACAAGTTATAATCATTAAAACATTCTTATATTTGTGTTTTTTTTTGTTGATCTTATGTTTTTTGGTTTAACTTATTTTTTGATATGGAAAAGCATTTTTGGATTTGAATTTTCTTCATTTGACATATTCACGAGACTTGAACTTTAAATCTCTAATAATTAAAGCAAATACTAAATTTCGCTACACCTGTCATAATATAACTTTTACTTCCATAAATTAGCTTAGTTTTTCCTTAATAAATTTTACAAAAAATGTGTTTTGTAATTGTAGTTGAGATGAATCTATCATGCTCTCTAGCTGGTAGCTATATATTTCAAAAGAAATACATGGGGTATATGGTGTTTTTAGCATCTAGTATATAGTTGAGATGCTAATTCTTTGAAGAATATGGTGAATCACTTTGGAAGGTTCGATATGTGCCAAGCTGCGCTGAGGGATGTCGATCGGACCATTGTGACGATGCTGAGCCAGAAACTTGACGAGGTCAAGCTGCCTAGTGATGATGTGATTCATAAGGTTTCTCAACTCAAGCTTAATAATTGATCATTGTAATGCAGCTGTGTAATTCAATCAACCGATGTCCGTGATCATAACGTTGGTTGAGAGTTCAATTTACAAAAAAGGCTCACGTACGGCTCACAGATCTGTTGGGCTATAATTTAACCCTAGACCGGTCCAAGCTTGATCTTACATTAGAGTGCATGCGCACCAATAGGAAACAAATCATGCATTAATGCCTCCCATAGTGGTAGACGAAAGTTGTCAATTTGGACTAGATTTGTGAACGGAATCAAGTACGGTGATGAAATTGATAATAATAAAGCCACACTGACCAAACTCAAGGCATTCATACGTTAAAAAGTTATCATAATTGTTAAAAAGAAAGACACAAAAGAAATAAGGGGATTTTAATAGCCGTAAAGATTCTAAGAATTGTCTCACGCTAAAAAACAACAGAACCTTGCAAGAGCTTATAAAGAGGTAAGTCACTTCCTCCTTTACCGATTGGTTCTAGGGTTGGACACTTTTTAGCAAAAAAATCCCTTAGTTATAAGCCGTTGACCTGTTTTGGTAGGGGTGCTAGGTAGTAATACATCAATTTTTGTTGATTAGTTCGCAATTAAACCCCCAAAACTTATCATTGATCCCCAACTAGAGCCTACACAATGAATCCCTTTTTTTCTTCACTAAAATCATTATACTAAGGCTAAAACCATGAAGCAAAGATCCAATTTTTAATATATAACCGACATTGGGAAAATGAGGATTCGACTCAAAATCTCAAGTGTAAAAGAGAATACGTTTAACCAATTAAGCTACAAGTTTCTTTATGCAAAGATGATGACATTGATAAACAACTTCTCTCTTTTGCATATGACACTTTACCGCAGTGCCGGATAACAATAATGTCTACGCACTCTCATGCATGTTTGATCCCTACCGGCCTCCTCTCTCTAACATTTATTTGACCCACTATTGTTTGTCCAATAAAAAAAATTTCTCGCTTCTTCATTTTCTTGGAAAAAAGTAACAAACTGATAAATAATACCTTTTGAACATTGTAGTAGCTGACCCAAGGCATCCTCTGGTGATCCTACTCGTCGTGTTTCATGCACATTCTTGGACTTGAATATCTGGAAATTGTTAACAAAGACCAAAGGTCCCTTGTTTTGAAAGTTAAACCAAGGAAGGGATCCTGGAAGTTTAATTAGCAAGTGGTTTAAGGTCAAAATTACAAATAAAAACACGTTAGTTTCTTTGACGTAGTTTTTTTATTTTTTTTATTTTAAGCTTCTCTGACTTTAGTATTAATTAATTACAATATTTGCATGATCAACTCAGTCAGGTAACCCAAAGGGCCATCAAACCAGAATATGTTATGTGAGAATTATCAAATTTTACGTATATTTTTATGCAAATTCTACGTATATTCTCAAGTCAAATACCTGTTTACTAGTGGGTTATATTTTATCTTAAGAAAAAAAAAAATGTCAAGTTCTTGAATCTTGACCGCACAGTCGCATTGTACTAGACAGAACCATATATATGGTTGTTGAGAATCCAGGTTAAATGAATTCATATTAGAAATTTAATAAATGGGAAAGTGAGTAAAAACATATAAAATTTAAGACAGAGTACTAGAAGCCTAGAAGTAGAAGATCGCCAATTTTCTTACGCGATTGGTTGATTTTTAGCTACGAGAAACACCGAACACGACAATTGATTTGTCAAGTAATTCCAAATAATGCCTTATAGAGCTTAGTTAGAGACGAATTCCAGACCTTTATTTCACACGGCAGGTCCTGAGTTCGATTTTTAACGCTGGTGAATCATTTGCCGGGGAGGCTTAAATGTCTATGTGAGTTTTTTCGGCTTCCGAAAAGATGGACTGTCGTGGCCAAACCACTCGCTGGTCCCTCTTTAAGAAGTGAAAAGTACTCTATATTTTGCGAAAAAAATTCCATGCCACGGTTTATGAGAGCTAGGGGCCATTTTTGTTTAGACTTGAGTTTACGAACAAGAAAAAGTTATGTGATGAGTTTTATGTTCGACATAAATCTGTATGTTGTTTGATTGATAATCTATGGCATGTAATTAGGTGATTTTTTATTTTATTTTTTATATTTAATATAAGAGTTTTTATTTTTTTTACAAACAATATAATATTTTACACTGAATTTTTCTTAAGTATGGGAAGAAGGATTTAACTTAGGTGTAGATGGGAGAGTACATTACTTTAACCAATTTGGTTGAGCCCATTTTTGTATTTATAAGATAAAACTATCATATAACCTCAATTTTATTTGTTAACATAGTTGATTATTTAGTGATGTAAATTTTGTTGTGAATAGTTCTTTGTGTGTTCTCGATGTGGTACATGAGGAAATTGCTTCTCCCGCTCTCTCTAATGAAATTGCTTATCATGTCTGTCTTTCGGTGTTACAATTTTTTTTCCAAAAATTTTCTTCTAGCCTTTTCAAGTTCTACTAAGAGACTTTGGGTTATTGTGGTTTGTACTTTTGTATGGAGCATTTGATTTTTCCGTAATCAGATTTGGTATGAGGACAAGTCATCGGCTCCTTTGAATTATACCAAGGGTTGGCTAGTAGCTTGGTTTTGTGAATTCAGCTTTTTTGTATTTCTCGAGTCCTAGTTCCTCAAAAAATAGTTGATGATTTAGTTAAGGTATAAAAGTTTACTCTTTGAGCTTAAATTTCTACTTCTAATTAAGTACACCAAAATTTGACATGGAATTTAAAATTTGAAGGATTAATCTCTAAACCTAAGCTCTAAATAGTAATTCTACAGCCTTAATAAGTATAAAGCTAAAAAAAAATTGAGCAGAAGTGAGAGCTTGTCGAAGCTTAAGAGAACAAATGCACTTAAAGCGAGTGGTCAGTGTTCCTAACAACCTTCTACATATGCATGAGTCTGTTAACCGTTGATTAGTCTAAGATCCATGCCATTCTTAGATATACTTTACCTAACAACAGTGGAGTGTTGATCTGTGGGGCCAAGGCAACGCTCTACCCGTATGGCATACTCAAATATTGGCATGTGGTCTAAGCCGCGGCAAAATTATTCATACTAGCTACTACTCCTGATGATTTGTGAACGCGGCCTTATACTGAGTACTAATAAAAAAACTAATCGTTCAATATGAACTCTTAATTTGTTATTAGCCAATAAGTGCATGCACTTGTAGCATAAAATCATTGATACACGGAGAGTTCAAATAATTTCATTTAATTTGGTGGACTGATCAGATCTCGATTTAATAACTATACGTGCATTGACCTAAATTGATTGTCATTTCATCACAAACACCCACACATGCATCGTCAACTTGTATCCATGGGAACACAAGGAAGTCAAACCACTGTTATGCTTAACTAATCCCATATAAAATTACGTTTCTCCATTAGTGAATTGATTTTTTTTCCTTAAAAAAAAAAAAGAAATGACAAATAATGACTTGTAACTCAAGTGGTTATGAGTAGTATTTATATACTCAAGAGTATGTGTTCTAATTCTTCATTTTGTGGTTGTGTGTCATATTCCCTAATATTGCTCATAACATAAATGAACGATACAACAAAATAACTTATCAAATTTTCATTTCCTTTTGAGCTAAGGTAGTGGTTGTTAGAGAGAATTAGTTTGGATATGATTACTTACTATATTAAAGGAATTTTCGAAACAAGAAACAACTTCCATATGTCTAAGTTGAAGGTAAAAAAATTATTCCTACTATTTCCCACAAGAATAGTAGAATTATATTAAAGAATAACTTTTTCTTCTTGAGTATGTTCAACTTAGACAAAATATTGGCATTGTCATCAATTTTTCCTTCAAAATATGTTTAAGATAATGAATTATCATATCCAAGTCAATCCTCTTAACAAATGCCATCTAAATTTCTTATAGCATAATTACTATTCCAGCTTACACAAAAAAATTGAGAAATGAAACCGGGCTTATAATTATTAAATCATGTGGTATAAGTCGAGTGCAATGGAAATTAAGAAGATATTGGTTTCAAAGTTTAATTTTGCAAGATTACTATTTTAGCTGTGCATTATTACAGTAGAAATTCGTTCTTAAGTATTGATTTTTTTTTTTTTATTTTTTTTTTTTTTAAAAGCGATATTTTAAATTATTTTTATTTATGAATAGAAAATTTGAACTCAAATGCAAGAGAACGGCTACACTATCTTAACAACCAATCTAACTCAAATTTGCAACTACTGGGTTGTCTTTTAATAAAGCAAAAATCATTGGTTCATAATTGAAGACAAAGCTAGAGATGAAATTTTAACCGCTGGGGTTTGAAGATACAGATATAAAATAATATACAGATATTGAAATGGACTGAGTAATGAATTTACACCAACAACATTTTATAATATAATATAATACCAATACCGACAGTAGTATACAAGGTTAGTTGAAGAAAAGGTCAGCCTTAATCTTTATAAATAGGCCTCATTTCTCAAGTCCATAACACATGCATAGTATCGATTACAAAGTATTCGTATATACCTTTTTCCTCTAGCCACCCTATTGTTGTCCTACTTAGCCAGCTATACCAAATTTACGAAATGGCTGCTGCCAACACCCACCACCTTCACTCAGTATCAAAAATTGGGATTATAGGGGCTGGTATTAGCGGAATCGCCGCCGCTAAACAGCTTTCAGGTCACAGTCCGGTGGTCTTTGAGGCCACTGATTCCATCGGGGGTGTTTGGAAACATTGTTCTTACAATTCTACCAAACTCCAATCCCCTCGTTGCAATTTCGAGTTTTCTGACTACCCTTGGGCTGAGAGAGACAATTCATCTTTCCCTTCTCATGTAGAGGTTTTGGAGTACTTGCATGGCTATGCCACACACTTTGACCTACTGAAATATGTCAAGTTTGAGTCCAAAGTGGTGGAAATACGTTATGTTGGTGGTATTGATGACCATCAAACCACCACCCAATTTCCCATGAATTCGATCTCCGGGGAGTATGGTAGCCTTTTGAGTGGCCATCCTGTTTGGGAGGTCGCTGTTCAGATGTCCAACAATCCAAACATCATTCAGGTTGTTTTTCCTGAAGATTTGATTTTACTTAAGTTTTAGTCATAATGTTCACGCATAATCCTTGATTAATTCTCTGATAACAAAGCATGACTCTTAAATATGATGATATCTGCTATCAATATGAACTTCTATATATGTATTAAGTAGTTAAGCATTAGTATTATCGATGATTAGTCTTGTACGATCATATCCAATTCATTGATCATATCATTGCTGATTTACATCTCTCACATGTTTAATGTAGTATTCATTGAAAATTTCTGTACACATAATCCACCTTATGATAGTAAATGTTACATATAAACATGTGAACTTTTAGTTATTAAGCCTTGGTAATATTCGTTAGTTACTAGCTAATTGTTCCTACTTTATTTTGGACCTAGCAGTGGTATGCATTCGAGTTCCTCGTAGTTTGCATTGGAAAATATGGAGACATACCAAGAATGCCGAGTTTCCCGCGCAACAAAGGTCAAGAAGTATTTCAAGGCAAAGTCTTGCACTCCCTGGATTACTCTAAGCTTGACCAACGAGCAGCTCGTGAGCTCCTCAAAGGCAAGAAGGTTGCAGTTATTGGCTACAAGAAGTCAGCTATTGACGTGGCAATTGAGTGCGCAGAGGCAAACCAAGGTATATATAAAATAGAAAAATCTGATCCGAAATCATAATCATATTATTAAATTCCACAAACATTACAAAACCTAATTAACAATGATGCCGGACCCCATAATTTCTTCACTTCAGCAGACAGATATGGTCAGCCTAGTGGGAACTGTCCGTGTGAAAAGTAACATAAGCAACATAGATTATGTACTAAACTCAGTTGACCACACGTTATCCGTTTTACCGATCGTAGCTTAAGCACCTATTTAATTAGCCTTACCCATAACGAGCATCAATTTATATTACACCATGACCACTTCAGATAAAATAAAATCGTTGTAACAATATTAATGTGGATGTGTGTTACAAATTTATGATATCTATCGACATTTAAAAGAGAAATATTACAAAATGAGAGCTAATTGGTAATTTTTGTTTCATACAATCAAGCAGGCTTATTCAATATAATGCTCTAAATCATTGAAATATGACATTTTGGTTTGCTCTCTTTTTTATTGTGGTGAATTCAAGGACCCGATGGGCAGGCATGCACAATGGTGATAAGGACTCCACATTGGACAGTTCCATCTTACTGGATTTGGGGGCTTCCCTTTTTCCTGTTTTTTTCGACAAGGTCTTCTCAATTCCTCCACGAAAGGCCAAACCAGAGCTTATTCCGAGCCTTGTTTTGCCTTCTTTCGTCGCCTATGGTAAATTCCATGTTTCTTAACACACTAATTTAACACCCTATTACTATTCTTAATTATATATGTATTGCTAGTTATTCGTTTACTAACTATATTGCTACTTGCTTTTTAACCAGAGGATTATGATTTCCAAGTTCATAGAATCGTACTTAGAGTGGAAGCTTCCCCTTGTGAAGTATGGACTAAAGCCTGATCATCCATTTTTGGAGGACTATGCTTCATGCCAGATGGCTATTTTACCGGAAAATTTCTTTGCCGAGGCGGACAAGGGCAAAATATTGTTCAAAAGGTCATCAAAGTGGTGGTTTTGGAGCGGAGGAATTGAATTTGAAGACAATACCAAATTGCAGGCTGATGTTGTGCTTCTTGCAACTGGCTATGAGGGAAAGCAAAAGCTCCAATCTATATTGCCTGAGCCTTTCCGCAGCCTCATGGTTGACTCCTCTGGCACTACGCCCTTGTATAGGTGAACCCTAATTACTCGTCAAATATTTGACATGTTATATATTTTTTCTGCTAACATGACACGCTCCATTTTATTTTAAATTGAGATTGTATTGTTATGTCGTCAAATCTGTCAAGCAGTATGAACAAATACTGCTTTGAGATTAAACCAAAGTTGTAGGTACCCTTATATTTTTAACTGATTACTCACAAGTGGTAGTGTGTACATATAAAAAATGTAACTAATTGTATAATGATTGCACATGCTATTTCAGGGGTACGATTCATCCATTGATTCCCAACATGGCATTTGTGGGATTCATAGAGAGTGTTTCTAACCTGCAGACAGCAGAGTTGAGGTGCAAATGGCTAGGCAGATTGGTTGACAACAAATTCAAGCTTCCCACTGTCCAAAAAATGCTTGAACAGATAGGCAGAGAGATTGAAGTGATGAAGAAGACGACCCGATTTTACAAGAGGCACTGCATTTCAACTTTCAGTATCAACCACAGCGACGAAATTTGTGAAGAGATGGGATGGAAGTCTTGGCGGAAAAGTAACTGGCTTTCAGAAGCTTTTAGCCCCTATAACAGCCGAGACTACCAAGAAGAAGATTAAAACCGAAACATGCAATTTGCACTACAAAGTGGGCGAAGTTTGTTTAGCGTCAATATCAGCTCCCTTTTAAATTTTATTAAGTAATTAACGTAGCTATTCGTATGTTCGGGGACTTAGGCTCTTAAGCGCCCCATATGCTGGTTTAAGCATTTCTTTTTCATAATCATATTATTCATAATAAAGCTGTGTTTAGCTGTTTGTTCAATAAAATAATAAAATTAAGTTTTTGTTATTATATTGCTATATACAAATCTCATATTGTTAAAAAAAAAAAACAAAAAAAAAATCTCATAAATCATTGGTTCACAGAGAGCAGCCCATGGAAATCAAATCTTTTAAATATCTTTTCATATGATGCAATAGCCCTAAAACTTACAAATACTGAAGATTTAATTGAGGAAAGATTTGTAAAAGTTTCCAATATATCAAGCCGATAAAAGAGATAAGGCATACTCCTCTCTTACTCCATTATTTTACTCTATGGCCTGCCTAATATATTTTTTTGCAAGCCTTAATACTCAAAGATGAAAAGGAAACTAAAAAGAAAAAAAAAGTATTTAAAGAATTAATAAACAAAAAAAGAGCCAAACATTTGATTAACAAAAACACATCAATCCTTGTCATGCTCAGGCTAACCACTCCCCATCAGCACCTTCAATTTCTCCAATGTGCATGCTGTAAGGAAATGAACATTAGTTAAACTTATCAAATTGCGATTTTTAATTGTACGGCCATGCATTAATATGGATTTCACTAAATAAAAGTAACAACCAATTATTTAAAGAAGTGAAAATAATTTCTCTAATTTAGTCAAACTAGGTAATGCTAGATACAATAAAATTTTAAAGTAAATTTGCAAACTAATGTGTCGCTAATAGAAAATAAGCATACGTTAATCAACACTTAAGTAATAAATTAAATCATCAACAACCACATCAAATGGTTTACAAAGTTTAGTTTAAAATTGGATGCATTTTTACTCACCACCATAAACTATGGTGTATGCTCATCATACACCTCATCATCTGACACGTGTCATTTCACTTGACCATAGTTTTTTTTTTTTTTCAAATTGGAAAATGAACATTTAATATTAAAGTTAATCAAAGTTAGTTGGAAAGACACGTTAGCTAATGAGGTGTATGATGTATGGTGAATATACATCATAGTTATGATGGTGATAATAAATATTTTCTCAAACTTTAGTTTCTCTAGTATTACCCGTCAAACTAATGCAGCCAGAAAAAGCCTATGACCAGTTGACAGGGGCATGTAGACTTAAACAAAAATTCCATTGGGCTAAGGTTCACAAGTTTGATAATTTTGTACCCTTAAAATATAAATTATTTCCAAGATGATTAGTTACAAAATTTGAGTCTAACTCCTCTCATTTAATACATTTTGACAATAGTACTAAATGACTTGAAAATTTTCGACAATTTCCCGCTCAAATTGAAGGCCTTAACATCCTCGTACTTTCATAATTAAACTCACACAGCTGTCAGCAAAGTTTTTGGTCAGAAGGGAAAAAAACCTCTCAATTGATCAAGCCGACTAGAAAAATGAAAAAAGCAAAGCTGATGAGAGACAACAAAACCTGTGGCAACAGCACTTTCTCTTCGGCTCCCACGTATTTTAATGGCTAGCTCTACAAATGACAGCAGCTTCGATCCCAAAAAAAAAAAAAAAAAAAAATCCAATTTACTAATTTCAGAAAAATCCAAAACGGAATAGATTCTAATCATACAATCACTCACTCACAATGTTTTCAATTCAGAAGAAAATAAAAAATAAAAGAATTGGAGATGAAAAGATAAAAACAGCTTTCCGAGTCTGCAAAAATCTGTTGGGTTCTTACCAAGGCAAGGCAGGATCTTGAAAATAGTCGTCTGAGTAGCAATCATTCAAATGATCATTCTGAAAACAGCTCTCATTTGCATTCAACCAGGCTGGAAATTCCATGATACTATGTTTGAATGAAGAAATTTAAGATTACTAAGGAATTTTAAAATGACAAAAATTGAAATAACGAGATTTTATTTTCTAGAATTTGTGAATTTCTTGTTTGGTAAATCTAAAAAAACAATAGAATAGAATACAGAATTTGTTATTTTTAAACTCTAAATCATATAAATTGGGAAATGATACATATTTACATGAAATTTAAACTTGGGAATTGGAGGTCCCAAATCCCAAGTTTTTTTCCATGCGAAAATTCTAAATTTATATGTTTTTGAATCCAAAAAGGAATTGGTGTATGTCAATTTATAAATTCTGATTATTACTTAAATTCTAAGTTTATTTCTCTCATTCAAATATTACATGACTTCATCAAACGGATGGTGGTAAGTTGTAACCATCATCATCGTCCTCATCCTTCACTTGTGGGCCCCCACCGAGTTCCACGACCTTCAAAAACTTAAACCACCATGCTGACGTGACCAAGTTCATGGTGTCGTTCCACTCCATCTGGTGCTGCTCCCCAATCCATCTTATCTCTGCCATCTCCGCCACTGATTGTGATAACCCGGCAGAGTCAACAGCATCAGCCACCGCAGGAGCATCCTCCGCTTCAATATGGAAAGAGGAAGAGGCTCCTGCAGCTGAGAAAATTTCAGGGTCCGTAGTGGCAGCAGAGAGAGTGGGGGAAGAAGATGACGAGGGAGACGTGCTTGAAGGGTAAATTCGAGGGTTTCTCCTCGATTTGATCATCGCTTCTTGTTCGAAGCGAGGTCGGGATTGTGGCTCATGTGCTTGTTGCTCCTTAGGTTGTTGGTCTTGTTATTGCTGTTGTTCACTGGTTTGTTTCATAGCTGCTATATGAAACTTGAGAGCAGTAACAATCTCTCTCCTAGCCTCAACCATGTTCTAAAGCCTCTCTTGGTAGGGCCTGCTGGTGTGGAGTCTCCGCCTCACTTGTTTTTTGTGTTGTTGGCAGTGTTTTGGCTTGAGATACCATCATAGTCCAGTGCGATGTTCTGGTTGGGATTCATGGGCTCTTTGGTTCTTGAAGAGGTGAGTGGTTTCACTAGGCTGGAAATGTAACAGCAATGGTGGAGAATTGTATCCTTGCAGAAGAAGAAAGAGTGTTCGAAGAAAGAGAGAGATAGAGATTATGGGCTCTTTGGTTCTTGAAGAGGTGAGTTGTTTCACTAGGCTGGAAATGTAACAGCAATGGTGGAGAATTGTATCCTTGCAGGAGAAGAAAGAGTGTTCGAAGTGAGAGAGAGAGAGAGAGAGAGAGTTTTTCATTAACAGTTTTTCTTAACTAATTACATTGGCAGTTATCAAGGGTATATATACCTAACAAGGTTGCTTACTCCTTAAGCTATTACAAGGATTACAAGATGCTTACACTTGTCACAATTACAATCACAAGATGACAAACTGTTAAGCTTGATACACTGTTATCATCCCCTCTCAATCGCAGGATGAGGATTGCTCAACCTGAGATTGGAATAGTGTCTGAAACAAAGGAGTAGACAAACACTTGGTAAGGATATCAGCAAATTGTTCATTCGAGGAAACAAAATAGACTTGGAGTAACTTCTTGGCAACCCTCTCTCGGACAAAGTGAATATCAACTTCAATGTGCTTTGTCCTTTGGTGCATAACTGAATTGTAAGCTAAAGCTATGGTTGAGAGATTGTCACAGAATAAAGTAGTGGGACATGGCAAATCAACTCCGAGAAATTGTAAAAGTTGCTTTATCCAGTCAACCTCTGCAGCTGTGGAAGATCGAGCTTGATATTCAACTTCAGTTGAAGATTTGGAGACTGTGTTTTGTTTCTTGGAGGTCCAAGATATGGGATTAAAACCCAAGTAAACCACCAAACCTGTTGTAGACCTTCTGTCATTCGGATCCCCAGCCCAGTCAGCATCACTGAATGCATGTAAATCTAAACCTCATTTGCTGAATTGAATACCATAGTCCATTATGCCTTTCAAATATCTGAGAATTCTCTTCAGAACTATAAAATGGGATTCCATGGGACAATGCATAAACTGACATACCTATTGTACTGAAAAAGCAATATCAGGTCTTGTAAAAGTAAGGTATTGCAAAGCACCCACCACACGTCTATACAATGCTGGATTATGAAAGGGTTTGCCATCATCCTTAAGTAACCTATTATAAGGTAGACAGGAAGCATGACATGATTTGGAGAGAGCCATTTCAGTCTTGTTTAGCAAATCTGTAACATATTTGGATTGTGATAGAAATAGACCAATGGCACTGTGAGTGATTTGAATCCCTAAAAAATAATGTAAGGGCCCAAATCTTTAATATCAAATTCCTGAGCTAAAGACTGGATGACATCTATAATAGCTGCAGTATCATTGCCTGTGATGATTATATCATCTACATACAACAAGAGAATCACCACAGAATTCCCAACATGCTTCACAAGCAAGGAGGAATCAAAATAAGTAGTGAGAAATCCCATAGTAGGCAAGAAATTAGTGATTTTCTGTATCTGAGATGTCACGGTAGCAGTATAATATGAGAAATTTGATATTTGATTGATAGTTTCATGCCTTGGGGCCACAAATACGTACGAGACACGTTAGTCTTGCACATAAATTCTTTGAATTCCACATTGTCATGCGAAAAAATAAATCCCCACAACAGTGCTTGATTCGTTTAAAATGTCTTTATTTTTGTCATTTCTACATAGTAAATATCAAAGAAAAGATAAATTCTCTTGTAACAAGATGCACCAATTTTTTTTTCTTAAATGCAAATGTTGTTTATTATTCATGGGGACACCCGATGGATCGATACTCATTTTAATTTGCACTAGGCTTTAATAATGTTGTAGTCTCAATCAATTAACCAAAGCAAGTAGTCCATCGGTACAATGAACCTCTTAATTGTGACGAGACCACTAACATATGTTGATAGCAAGATCAAGCCAATTAAGACAATATATGATCATCAAGTCTTGTGTCTCTGTACAAAATTAGTCTCTAATTATTAGCACTTCAAACGAGTTATCGTACAAACTCCTCCATCTCTTTACCTTTGTTTATTAGAAAAAAGGGCAAGATGGTTGCAAAGGGCAGGACGATTGCCAAGCGTTAATAACAATTTTCATACCATGTTAGTGTTTAACTTTCTTGATGTGCAAATATATAAGTTTAGTCACTCAATCAAAATAATATATTCGCCTATTTGCACCTGAGTTTAAATCTTTTACCTAAATAACTTGCTTTTGACACTAGACATCTGGATAATATATCCATCTCTCGCACCTGAGTTTAAATCCCTTACCTAAATTTCGATATTCGAACTTGGTGGGGGATATCACAAAATTGTATATAAAAACTTAAGCACAATGCATCGCAATGGCCAAATGGTACCACAATTGAAAAAACACAATGTGGACAGTTTATTGAAAAGTCAATAGCTGTCGTTTCTGACGTCAATCATTTTCCATGAACTAAATGACACCTTTGGCTTTGGGTCACCAAAAAGTTGTCACTATAATTTTTTATTAACTAAACTCTAATATGAAATTAAGTTCAGAGATGTAACATGCAACCAAATAAATAAGAGAACAATGAACAAGAAACTAAATATAACTTCGGGTAGAGTTAAAAGTTTAAAAATTAGTCAAAAATAGCGAGAAACTAGAGTAATATACAAAATCATACAATCTAATTACAAAAAATAAATCAAATGGGACCTTTCTTCGTTTCTTATATTTTTAGGGATGTTCCGGTTGAAGAAAAAGAAGATAATACAGGGCACAACAATCGTATCAAACACCGCAATTCTATATCAATTCTCAGGCAAGCAGTGGCAGGTAGCTATCAGCAGTCGGTCACTCAATCTTCTTGGATGTACAGAACTTTTTGACAACATCAGATTTCAATTTGCGTCCACGAGAGAGAGCTTCTAGGACCATGTCATCAATTTTTTGCTCCTCCTTCTCGTACACGTAGAAAACTATGAAGGCAGCGGGAACTCCTGGAACAATAAGAGAACAAAGAAACTAAGGGTCAAGGTGGGGCAAAATCGAACTTATTGATGCAACTGCTAAAAGAATGAGTAATGCCGGTCCAATGGAATACAAGAGTACCCCGTCACCAATCCAATCAAGTCCGTACGCGGCTGAAATATAGGGTGCAAGGATATAAAATGATGGGTTCTTTAAAATTTACACCATATGAAGCTGAGAGGCTGAGACTAGTACCGACAGTTTCTTCCAAAAACAGGAAATTGGAAGAAATTTAAATACTATAAATTAAATGTCCTAAACATTGGTTTGTTCATTAATTACCCAAACCAATTTTTCAGACTCCCAAAGTTCCTACCATTTTGTGCATGAATTTTAATGATTTTCTATATAAAATTGGACAGACTTTCAGAATGTCAGACCTTAATATTATTCAAAGTTCAAATGAACTCCCGATGCCTTGAATTCTGTGAGTGAGTGAAATGGAGGAGAGATACCTATAACATATAAGTTCTGAAGTGAAAACGCTCCAAGGAAGCTAAGAACCAATAGGGTGAGAACAACCTACAACATCACCAGTAAATATAAAGTAAACGTCAGAAAATAAGAGAACAAAGGAAGCGAGATGCAATTCTATAACTTACTAGCATGTGCATTCTGCACCTCTTCCGTGAAAATAATATACAGCTGGAAGCACAAAAGAAGATGGGAACGGCAGAGAAATACCTTAAGGAACAATATCCCGTCATATCCCTTGGCAAGAGATTTCAAAGTTTTAACAGATGCATTCCATGATGAAGCCAGAGACTTGGCAATTTGTTGCGACGTCTCTTCTGATAAGCGGAAATGTGATGACTGAAGCTTCTCAATTTTGTATCCTAATCTGGAGCGAAATTTTGTTTGTAGTTAGTAGTCAGTTTCACTTAATAATGAAAGCTGAGGAAAACAGCAGTTTTCAAACAGAGAAGCTAATGAATATGAATACAAGAAGGGCATAGGCCATACATCTTTTTAGGTAAACCGGCATGAGTGAACACAAATACTGAAGCTACCAGGAGAACCTTTGAAAGCATAGTAATAATTGTAGATTCAGGTACAATGAAGTTGTAGTAGATTGCAATCAAAACAATTAACGCCTTCAACGTCTGTTTTTTATCCTTCCAGAGTAATGTGTCAGCTACTGTCAAAACCACAAGTGCAATACATAAGTGCACATATACTGTTATTTCGCACATACTGAGTCAATCATAAGGATGTCATTATGCCTGATTTTAGTTAACATATAAGAAACATCAAAGTAAGATGAGTAGAAACTGAGGATTCGTACCCCTTCCACTTCCAAGATATATTGACGCTTTAGATGGTCCTTCTCTTTTCGGTCGATGTTCAGCCCTCAAATGTGGGTATGCATCAATTGTCCTCTTCAGACCATCCTGAAGAAAGTAAATAGCACTGTGTCACAAGAAAGCACCTTATCTAGAATTTGAACACAAAATGTACAATGACACGATAAGAGTGCTTAGACCTTTTTAATTCCTAAGTGCTCACCAATAAGAGATATAAGTTTAACTACACATTCTGTATTCGTATATAGCACAAACAACATCCTAATCACAGGTTCAAATGTTCAAGGCGGCGAAGGTGTGAAAGAGAAAAATATAAATGTTGTATGCTCTGCCAACTGGAGTGCTAAGTGCAACTCTCTTGTATTAAGTTATTAAACAAAGGACTTATCACTCTTTTTATGAAAAAATACTGAACCTGAAGTGATACGATGGGTGTGTAGCCGATTCGATCCTGTGCTTTCGAACACTTAAAAGATCGGGTGCAAGAGAGGAGTCTAATTCTCGAAGGCGTCAACTGTGGAAGCTTCATCCCATATGGGCCTAAAAGCTTATATGTCAACTCCACCATATGTGCAATTGGCATCACAACAAAGGCAGGGATTTTTATTCTTGGCCTGCAAACGACATTCATTCAGGGAAAACAAAAGAGAATGGACATTGAACAATCACTATATTAGGCATTGAGGAGTACAGTGATTACATTTAAGGTCTCCTTAAAATGAAAGGATTACGAAAAGGAATTACCTTTCATAGCCAAGACCTTCTACAATAAGTGAAACAAACTCCCAAAACTTGATAGGTTCCATATTGGTTATAAAATATGCCTGCAAAAGCAGTACTATTTTAGGCTTTTAGCTAGAAATGCCGCAATCTGTCTCCATATAGTTTAGCTTGACATCAATCAGACATGCAAAGTAAGTTTCAAAAGCATGACTATCCCATGTTTTAGAGCAAATCTAAGGTATCAAAACGTGAAGGAATGACTCAGTATAAAAGATGCTTTTATATTTGTTTTTCTTCTCTTAATATCAGTTTATATTACATGTACTGTCAGATTATTCAATGCAACTTTGAAAGTTTATTTCCCCAGAAAGCTTACTTCTCCCGTGAACTTCAGAACATGTATCAAACCAGTATCCAATAAATCTTTCTTGTGGTACTAAATAAATCATGGCAGTTGAATAATTCAATCCTCTCTTTATTTCATCGTCTATTATACATTTATACTTAACACCACCCACCCTATCTTGTATTTATCTCAGGTGTCAAAAAACTTAATAATATATTGGTACCTGCCCTGCAGCTTTATCTGCAACTGTCCCTTCTGATGCAAGAGCTCGCTCTGCACATATATGCGCGTGCGCCACATTTTCAACATATGTGAAATCATAAATGTTGTTGCCATCACCAATGATGAACTGTTCAATTGAAATAAAGAGGAGAAAACAATGAGCATCATATATCGTGAAAGGACTTAGCTGATAATGGCGTAAGGGAGATGCAAGACTAAAGTAACTGGGACCACCAACTTCCTTACCTTGGATATCCCTGCCCTGGCGGCAACAACCAATGACGGAACCAGCAACCTATCACCAGGTCCAAAAATGCTGCTAGGGCGAATGCAACAGGTGAGAAGCCCCTTAACACCATTTGCCTTGATGACCAATTCTTCTCCTTGGGCTTTCGTTGCAGAATAGAAATCATTGTGCTGAAATAAGTTACAACGTGCAACAATTCCGTAATTAAAATTGCATCCACACACATTCTTGCATCACTGTAAATACATTAGGAAATACTAGTACCTTAGGTGGATATGGCAAAGACTCATCCCCGTCAATAATCCCATGAATCCCATCGAAAACAACACTCGGGGAGCTAGTATAGATTAGTCTCTTTACTTTGAACTCAGTACAAGCATCAATCACATTCTGAGTTCCTGAACAAAATCAAAGCATAGTTTCAAAAGAAAAAAAATAAAACTTTGCATAAAACCCCAAAAGAACCCCAAGGATCAAGCATCAATCATATCCATTGATTAAACCCGAACTACGAAATTATTTACTAAACTAAAAACTGAACTTATCAAAAACAAGAAGCAAAAAAAGCACAATTCGGATTGTATACCTTCTACATTGACCGAGTGGTGGAGCTTGTAATTGTTGATGGACGAATTTGGAGCCGCCATGTGGAACACAACCTCCGCGCCTTGTAACGCTACAAGATTGAATGCATAACGCAGAAAATCAAATCACGCACACCAAATCAGCCGCCATTGATGCAAACTCAAGACTGAGAGAGAAACAAAGCTGACCTTGAAGAACTTGGCTCTTGCTGCGGAGGTCGAGGGACACGTACTGGGCGCGACCGGTGCTCAGGGCTTCGGCTAGAATGCCGTTTTCTTCGGAAGGTTCTAGATCAACGGTGGAGCCGAGGTCGGCGATTCTGACCCGGAACACATCGTATCGGATCAGCATCTGGACCAAGTGGCGCGCCGCGAAGCCTCGGCCTCCGGTGACCACGCACCATTTTTCGTCGCCTGACATGGCAGGAAGATGGCGGCGATCGGTGGAGGTGAAGGCAACGAGGATGGGAGAGTGGAAGTGTCACTGTGTGAGATAGTCAGCAAAGAAGGTGGACAGAAATTTACGGTGGGAGTGAGATGGAAAACCAGAGGAATCTAGCTGACGGTTAGACCCGCCAATCTGCCCAACAGAAGCTTGGGCTTTGGTTTGGGCTTAGCTCAAAAATTAAATTGGGCTTTTCTGCTGGGCCCAATAATAGCTTTTGACCCAAATTTACTTGCTTTTCCCTGCCATTTCCGTTGCTCCAAACAAATTTCAAATTGCTCCCCCCAAAAGTAAATTCCTCTACAGCTTTTCTGCTTCCACATTACATTCACTGGCAGATTACAGAGAACCACTCATTCTCTCGACGGAGTGAGAGTAGTGATCGGCACAGAATACTCAACGGAGAAGAGGAGCAAAATATGTCCTCAAAGTCCCAGCCTTTCTCTTCCACCAGATTCAACTCAATGATTGCCGCCGCCGCCGACGACGATGACTTTCAGATCCCACTCACCCAAACAGCCACAGCTCCCAAGCCTTCCAAAAAGCAGAAGCGCTCCAAACCCATCTATCGCGGCAAGGAGAACATTCCCCCCAATTGTTTCGGCAGCAAAGACTCGACTTTGGAGCAGACCCAGGGTTTCAAATCCTCGATTTTCGAGGACTGCAGCTTGGATTCGATACCCACAAGCTTCGATTGCGGGACCCTCGACGGTGGCGGTCTCGCTTCTTCTTCTGCGTGCGTTGACGAGGAAAAGGAAAACGAAAAGGGGTTGAAATCAAAAGGGGGATATCTGTGCAATTCAATCGAATCTAGGTTAATCAAGCCTCGACCCGATTGGGATTTCGGTTCGGGTGATGGCGAAAGCCAGGATTTTGAGGAGCTCGATGTGCTGCTGAAGCTGTGCGATCGAGCAGGAGGAGGAGAGAGTGTTGGCGTCAATGGAATGGAGGAAGGGTTTGGAATTGTGGAGGACGAAAATGGGGGTTTGGTGCTGTGTCCTCTGTGTGGGGCTGACATTTCGGATTTGAGCGACGAAGAGAGGCAGGTCCATAGCAATGAGTGTCTTGACGAAGAGGAAGTTCAAGCTCAAGACGTAAGTATAAAGTATTAATCTTTTTGAAGATTTTGGCTATTGATTGTGAATGCTGATTGTGGTAGTGTGGGGTGTTTTTCTTGGAGCAGGCTCCGTGTCCTGATGAGGAAAGGGGGCATCAAAATTCCAGGCAAGTTCTTGAGTGGCTGCGCAGCCTGGGATTAGAGAAGTACAAGGATGCTTTTGTTCGAGAAGAGATTGATTGGGACACTCTACAATGGCTCACAGAAGAGGTATAGAACGTAGGATATGTCTGCCTATTAACTCACCCTTTTGGTTACTTGATTTGGATTTTGATTGAATTACTCTTTCTTGTTGGTTTTTATTTGCTGTGAAGGATTTGGTTAGCATAGGCATTACTGCACTTGGTCCGCGGAAGAAGATTGTGCATGCCCTTGCTCAACTTAGAGAAGGTGCCACTACTACTACTAGTAGTTCAACTGAAGCACAACCAAGAAAAAGGAGAGCCAATGGAGTCGATATGCCCAATGATACTTCAGAAGCACCAGTTAATGATGTTAGTAAAACAGCTGCAAACAAATTGATCACAGATTACTTCCCGGGATTTGGAACTGCTAGGAAGCAAGTTTGCACCACCTCTAGAGAACAGCGAAGGGTAGAAAAAGCGGGTGCCACGTTCTGGTCAGAAACGTGGTGTGGAAAACAATAATGCCACAAATCGGAAACTCAGGGATATTCCCTCGTGGTGTTGCATACCAGGAACACCATTTCGAGTGGTAAGTGACCTTGCAAGTGATTGTGAACGTCACTGTGTACTACACTTTTTAGTATGTATTGCTCTTCAGCTTTAGGATAAGTTATGGTGTTTTCATCCTCTTCATTTATAAGCCTGAGGCTGATTTTTTGACAAGTTCATTTGTTCCCATTTGCAGGACGCTTTCAAATATCTTAGACGGGATTGTTCGCATTGGTTTCTAACTCACTTTCATATGGATCGTAAGAACGCTTTTTTTTTTTCCATTTAAAACTTGTATTTAATCTTGCTTGTTAGTCCGGAAACGTACCTCATTTGGAATGATGTTAGTCCGGAAAGGTACCCCATTTGGAATGATGGCAGCTACTACATAGGGCTAGTTATTTGCAGACATTTTTGGGTCAAAGTTATCTGATTTGATATGATTGCATTTGTTACTGCAGATTATCAAGGTCTAACGAAGTCCTTCTGTCACGGAAAGATTTATTGCTCCTCCATCACAGCTAAGCTTGTAAATATGAAGATTGGCATTCCATGGGACAGTATACAGGTTGTACCCGTCAACCATAAGATGAATATTTCTGGTATTAATGTGACCTGCTTGGATGCAAACCACTGTCCTGGTTCGATAATTATACTTTTTGAACCACCCGACGGTAAGGTGCGGTCCAAACTTACCTTCTAACCTCACTCCATAGTATTCTTGTTTTCTTTTCTATGTTTGTTGGATAACGGTCCCTGATTCCATGTGTATCTAGGCTGTTCTGCATACAGGGGACTTTCGCTATAGCAACAGCGCAGCAAGCATGTCTTTTTTGCAAACATGTTCTATCCATACTCTCATCCTTGATACCACTTATTGTAATCCACAGGTGAGCCTAACACATAGAATACGGCATATGTTATGAAGTTCATGTCTTTCCTTTATCCCCTTAGAAAATAGATTGCTCATCATTTTGTTGTTGGAAAGTATATACTGCATAATACAACTTTAGAAGCGAAGTGACGTTTACTCTCATTTCATTATGTTTTGCAGTATGATTTTCCAAAGCAGGAGGCTGTAATACAGTTCGTCATTGATGCCATTCAAGCTGAAACTTTCAACCCTAAAACTCTATTTCTGATCGGCAGCTACACTATTGGTAGAGTTCACTGCTTATCTCGTTTCTATCTCCCTTTTGCTTTTACATATCCATTCCAATGTGTTGCTCTATATCATTGGATTACTCCATAAAGTGGTCATTGCATTTCCTTTCTGTTATCTCTTTAACCCCCAGCTCATTTATTTCTCTCTTCCCATCCATGTGTTTTATCTCCATTTTGCAACAGGAAAGGAACGACTTTTTTTGGAGGTTGCTCGTGTGCTCCGGAAAAAGATTTATGTTAATGCAGGAAAGCTGCATACTTTAAAATGCTTGGATTTTCCTGAAGAAGATATGCAGTGGTTTACATTAAACGAACAGGAAAGCCATATCCATGTGGTCCCTATGTGGACACTTGCAAGCTTCAAGCGACTGAAGCATATTTCCAATCAATACTCGGTGAGGGATTTACCCTTTTCCTTATTATGTTACCTTGGTATGTAGACATATCCAGAGAAATGTGTTTTCAAAGAATAATGTAACTCATGTAGATATATAATGAAATTTCTGACTCTCTGAGATTTGCGAAGTAGCATCGTATCATGAACTTACATTTCTCGATTAAGCTACCCTTTCCATGGACTCGAATTCCACTTCATGTTAGGCCAAGGGCAAGACTGAAGTTTCGAAGTGCTTAACTAGTTCCTTTGTTCTTTAACTCTCAGAGTCGATTCAGCCTTATCGTTGCTTTCTCTCCAACTGGTTGGACTTTTGGTAAAGGAAAGAAGAAGTCCCCGGGAAGAAGATCACAGCAGGGTACCATTATAAGGTGACATTTCCTCCTCTGCTACAATACTAAATTGCCTTGGATGAAACTTTTGACCATATCAAACATTATAGAGTAGTGATTCTCGCACTCCCGCTTTCTCCTCTTGCACTGCAGGTATGAGGTGCCATACAGCGAGCATTCCAGCTTTACAGAACTCAGAGAGTTTGTGAAGCTTGTTTCTCCAGTGGAAATAATACCTAGTGTGAATAATCACGGACCAGATTCTGCCAAGGCCATGGTTTCTCTGTTGTCATCTTAAATTTTTATTTATTTTATTTCCCACTAACTTTACAACTTTTGTAATTTTACCCTCAATAATGATGGATAACGTGATTTGTATTAGGGTAGTAATAATGGAACTTCTGGTTGTGCAAAGGTCCCATGCGTAATAAGGAGAGGTTGATGTTAGTTCTAGCATTCAAGACAAGTCATAATTTGGAGTCTTCGTTGTGATTATCCCCCAATTACATAGTCGTGGTGTTACGGTCAACTTGTATTATAATGTGGTTTATATATTAATACTACGTAATATATGAGAAATTGTTTGATGTGAAATCACACCTCCACGTCAAGTTATTAATCTAAATGTTACAACATGGATGGATGACATGTTTAATATGTTTTGGACTTGGAATATAGTGTTAATAAATAGATTCATCTGTAATAACATGAATAAATTATTAATATCACATAGTATGAGACAATCACTTTCAAATAAATTCTCTGTCAATTTATATTGCAACACGTAACTTAATAACATCAAATAATAACGTGATGATATCACTCAAAGTGTTTTTAAGGTAGAACTTTGCTAATGTATGAAATGACCTGCCGACTTTCCTCATTGACTACCAATATTAAAAACAGATTGAGACGCAGCACCAAAGAATTTTGATCAACACATTAAAATCGTTGCCCCATTTGAAGGAAGAACAAGCGAGTTATCCAACCGAACGAGCATCTTCAGCAAACTTTATCCATATTCCTCTTCTTCTTTTTTTTTGTCGAGTCTAGTAATTGAATTCTTCACGAATAAGCCTCTTAAAACTACATTTTGAAGATGCAATTCTCCATACTAAACTGTTATTGCATCTGACTATTATTAATATTACACTCGAGTCTCGACATTAACAAGTGATACATGAAGAGTCATTTTCTGTGATTTTTCCCATCGATATTAACAGTTGTAAAGAGGACTTCACTAATTAAGCATTCCATTAACTTCTTGTACCACTGATAAATATAATTAAATGGTGATGACCATGGTAGATGAATAAAATAACAAGCCTCTCCTTTGAAAAGATTTTCCGATGTACCGAGAACACGGCCTGATTACCAGAACACTTAAAAACATCTCCTTTGGTGAAGCCAGCTAATGGCCTTGAAGGGCAAACGCCCCTTCCCTCAACTACCTTCTTTAAGTTTCCTTTGCTTTGGACTCATTCATATTCACAAGAAACAGAACAAAGTGTGTGACCCTATCACTCGCATCATCCATAACCAGAACCAATTAATTTTCCATGCTCACAAAAAAAAAAAAAAAAAGAAGAGTTTATCAAATTTTTTACAAAATAGAGAAACCCAAGAAGAAGAAGACTTGGAATTGCACACCCCAAAAATTCCATTCCATTATTGTAAAAAAGAAAAAAAAAAGAAAAAGGAATTCAAAGCTCTTAAAAGCTCTCAACTAATTGTTGTTCGAGTTGGTTCTCGTTGGTGTTTGCATTAACTATTTTCCACCCACCACTTTTGATGCTCATATATATATTAACACTCCTTTCATCTCTCTCACAATCCAATCCAATCCAGTCCATGCCAATCCCACCCACCATGGCCAGTGAGCAAGATCTCCTGTCCACCGAGATTGTCAACCGTGGGGTTGAGTCGTCCGGCCCCAATGCTGGCTCCCTCACGTTCTCCGTTAGAGTGCGCAGGCGGCTGCCGGACTTTTTACAGTCCGTAAACCTAAAATATGTGAAGTTGGGGTACCACCACCTCATCAACCATGCCATATACTTGGCCACCATCCCTGTGCTTGTGCTGGTTTTTAGTGCTGAGGTGGGAAGTTTGAGTAGGGAGGAGCTGTGGAAGAAGCTTTGGGATGATGCACGTTATGATCTAGCAACCGTGCTAGGGTTCTTTGGTGTTTTTGTGTTCACTTTGTCTGTTTACTTCATGTCACGCCCTCGATCCATCTACCTCGTTGATTTCGCTTGTTTTCGGCCTAATGACGATCTTAAGGTAGGTTTTTATTTAATTAATGGATTAATTGGTAACTTTTTCAATGACTTATTTGCATTGGTTTTCCATGTATGTGTATATAATATATGACTTTGACGACTTAATTTCAACATCCAATCTTTCATGGTTTTGTTGATTATGTATGGTGACAAGTTATAATCATTAATTAAAACATTCTTATATTTGTGTTTTTTTTTTTGTTGATCTTATGTTTTTTGGTTTAACTTGTTTTTTGATATGGGAAAACATTTTTGGATTTGATTTTTCTTCATTTGACATATTCACGAGACTTGAACTTTAAATCTCTAATAATTAAAGCAAATACTAAATTTCGCTACACCTGTCAGAATATTTAACTTTTATTTCCATAATTAGCTTATTTTTTTCCTTAATAAATTTAAAAAAAAATGTGTTTTGTAATTGTAGTTGAGATGAATCTATTGTGTTCTCTAGCTGGTAGCTATATATTTCAAAAGAAATACATGGGATATATGGTGTTTTTTTTATGTCCTTGGTCATTTGTAAATTGGAAAGTAATCTCAAATTAAATGATTGAATTGCAATTAAGGGGGATGCGCGCAATTTATTTATTACTGCAAATGAAAGTAATTTGTGAGTACATGTTACTTTGTGATATTCTTAATTAGGTCTCTAAGGAACAATTCATAGAGGTAGCAAGAAAATCGGGCAAATTCGACGAGGCGAGCCTAGAATTCCAAAAGAGAATTCTAGATTCATCAGGCTTAGGAGACGAGACCTGCATCCCAAAATCCGTCATCATGTCGACGGAAAACACGGCAACCATGAAAGAAGGCCGAGCTGAGGCCTCAATGGTCATGTTTGGGGCACTCGACGAGCTCTTTGAAAAGACTAGGGTCCGTCCGAAGGACGTAGGAGTCCTAGTAGTAAATTGTAGCATCTTCAATCCCACACCCTCATTGTCTGCAATGATCATAAATCACTACAAAATGAGAGGCAACATTTTGAGCTACAATTTGGGTGGAATGGGGTGCAGTGCCGGAATCATAGCCGTTGATCTGGCTAGAGACATGCTTCAAGCCAACCCTAATAATTATGCTGTTGTGGTGAGTACTGAGATTGTGGGGTATAATTGGTACCCTGGTAATGACAGGTCCATGCTCATTCCGAATTGCTTTTTTAGAATGGGATGCTCCGCTGTGTTGCTGTCCAATCGCCGCCGCGATTATCACCGTGCCAAGTACCGGCTGGAACATATTGTTCGGACACATAAAGGCGCTGATGATCGGAGTTTCAGGTTTATCAAATTTATTTGTCTTGCTCTGATTAATTTGTTTTTACACTTGCATCACAAGTCATAATACATTTTAATAGAAGCTTTGAAATTTGGGACCCAAGTCCCATAAACTAATTAATCTTTCGTCCTAAAAAATGATAGAGGTTTAGAGATTTGGATCTGCATGTCACAAAAGTGGTCCATGGACTAGCATTAACAGGTGTGGTTGAACTTGAACTTGGCCCATGACAGATAATATTTTGGTTTAATATATTAATCATGACAGATAATATTTTGGTTCAATATATTAATCATTTTTGGGTAAGAATTAGATGACATTACAAAAGGAGAGGACTACGCTTTTGGACGTACTAAGAAAGAAATGTATGGTATCGGGTACCAATTTATAATATTCATATATCATAAAGATTTGATCAACATTTGGTAAATATTGTATTGGCTGATTTCGACTATGTTAAAAACATATAATTAAGTTGGTATTCCACAATAAAAATTACGTATATACACCTTAATTTATTTGATTAGATAGGTGAAGTGTGAATTAACCTTTTTAGGTTTTGACCTAACCACAACATGTGATGCAACAGGTGCGTGTACCAAGAGGAAGATGAACAAAGATTGAAGGGGCTGAAGATCAGCAAAGACCTAATTGAAATTGGTGGTGATGCCTTGAAAACCAACATCACCACATTGGGGCCGTTAGTGCTGCCTTTCTCTGAGCAGCTCCTCTTCTTTGCCACATTAGTTTCAAGGCACCTGTTTTCCAGCGGAGGCACTTCGGAGTTATCTTTAGCGTCACGCAAGAGACCCTACATTCCGGACTTCAAGCTGGCTTTCGAGCGCTTTTGTGTGCATGCAGCGAGCAAGACTGTGCTCGACGAGCTGCAGAGGAACCTCGAGCTGAGTGAGGAAAACATGGAGGCCTCTAGGATGACGCTACACCGCTTTGGAAACACGTCGAGCAGCAGCATATGGTATGAGTTGGCTTATTTGGAAGCAAAAGAGAAGGTGAAGAGAGGAGATAGGGTTTGGCAGTTGTCATTTGGTTCTGGATTCAAATGCAACAGCATCGTTTGGCGGTCGATGCGCCACGTTAGGAAGTCCTCGAGGAATCCATGGCTTGACTGCATTGAAAAATACCCAGTGAATCTCTAAGCTAAACTTGGAGATGCATGCTAAAGAGAGGAGGCCTATGGTTGTATTAATGTATTTATCTGGTGAAAATGCTGGAGTGACTCTCATAAGTTTCCCTTTTCTTTTAATTTGCTTTTGTTTTTGTTTTTCAAATTACCTTTTTTTTAACCGAAATTAATTATGATATTGGCAAGTGAGGATTATTAATTTGTAAAGTGTTTAATTTGTAAGTATTTGAATGTTTATAGGCTTGCAGTACTTCTGCATTTCTTTGTGGATCAGTGTTATTTTTGCACTGCTGCAAAGATTTTCAGATAGTAATTTGGAGAATATGCAAACCTTGAATTATTGTGATAAAGTTTCCTTCTGAGTTCTATTTTTGCATGCATTAAGTATTATAGTCAGTTCTACAATTTAATTAACGTACTTTTTCTAACAAGCTGTCAATACCCTTCAAGTGTTCAACATACGAAGCCTTACCGTTAAAAAAATTATGTTTGCTTAATAAAAATTGGAGAATGAAGGAATAAGAGAACATAGAAATAGATGAAGGAAAAAGAATAAGATTAACTAGTTTTTCTACTTGATATGATTTTAATTTTAAGATATTTGATTACAAATGAGTTATCTCAATTTATATTCTCAGCAAGTAAACATACCCTCATAATAAAAGGAGTCTTTTGATGTAGGC